GGCAGCGAAGGGGCGCAGACTGGTGCTGCACGAAACCTCGTCCATGGGGCACAGGATTCATGGGTGGAAATAATGTGGTATTAGGAAACGGGTGCCGTAACTCAGAGTCTTGCCATACCGACTACCTATCGACTAAATACAAAGTCTGATTTGAAAGCTATGGAAACGTCCTGCAATTTAAACATCAAATTTGCTAATATAAATGAACAAACTTATTCAAAGCACTTCCTAACTAGGATGGGTTGTTGGTTGCAGGTTGTTGACCTAAATGGAAGCAATTTTCACCGTAGATAGGTAACTAGCTTGCAATGAAGGCAACAAGCATGCGCGGAGCCCTGCAATGGGCGGCCAGTTAGCACCCCCGTGTCGCTCGCCTGGAATGCACTGGTGCAGCGTCCCCTCGCACGCACGGCCGAGTAGCACTTTGTTAGATCGCCCGTGTTTGGCGCCCGAGGTGCGACTGGCAGCGCCATTTAAATTTTAAATGCCCACCTAACGGCCGAGCTGCGTCCTCCCCCACTGGAGCGCGGCCCGGGCCGGCCGGTCCCAGCTGGACGGGTGCTATCGGTCAGCCATCGGGCCGCTCCGGCCGCCACCAGACACGTGGCCGTGCGGCCTTATACGGCACGGGACCGCCGCGCGACGGGGGCGTGGCGCCTAAAACCAGTCGCCCTCAAATGACCGGCCATTGGCGACTGAAGACTCTGAAGACCGCTCAGTGGTGACAAATGACAGTGAATTCGGGATGGCTGATGTCCAGTGAGCCCTTCTTGGTGACATGTGAGAGCCCATCTCTTTGTCTTCATGGGAGAAAAGTCTGAACTATTATAAAACCCAACACAACATTCACTGGCAGGTCAAGAGGTCCAGCATGCGTCATCCCAGTCACATACCTGGCCTCACTCTCGACCTGACCAAGCCATTTGGGGAGGGTCCAACCGGTCCACCACGGTCCACTACACGGTGACTCGGCAGTATATCTGAGACGGACAGAGATCACCGCCCGGCAGCACTTCCCCTCCAAACATCAATCATTGCATCATGTCCACCGCCCGCCTGATGCAACCCTCCCGGCCCACCGCGGAGGCACAGAGGTGGGGCCAGACACCGTCTCAAGGTGAGGAGAGCTCAGCGACCGCTAGCCAGGTAAACACGCCACATTACTCAGGAAGGCCGACCGATTTACCGCGAGCTGAGGATGATGATATTATATTACCACCATCATCATTCCCTACTCCACATGACCGCGGCGCCAGACGACGAGCCGGCCTATTTTCTGTGGTGGTTCAACTTATATATCCCGGATAAGAAGTCTAACACCAAGCATGCTATAATAAATCCCATGAGTAAGAACTGAGCTGCGGCTATCGCTGCATGCACGCCGGCACGCTGCTCGAAAAGCTGCCGAACAGTGACGAGCAAGTGTCAGGTTCTGGGACCGCCGGTGGTAGCGTCCATAAGAAACTGGTCTCCGTGACAATGTCCCAATCAGGTCAACGCGAACACGATAGTGGTCACGGTAAAAACTGGCAGACCGGCCGCCCAAGCGGGTGGCAACATATAGCCACCGACTAGCCGAGGTGTCGGACAGTCCGGAGGGCTCTCTTCGGCCGGGGTCAAGGAGACGGGACGGATGCGTCTGTAACAGCTCCGAGCGATGAAGGAAGACGGCCGCCGGCACAGAGCTTCACCGTCAGCTACATATGTGGTCGTGGGTAATCCTGCAGCAGTTAGGTAGGCATACCGTTTAAATCTAGATTGATTTTTCATCAGGGAGCACTTCACACCGCCACCTGATATACTCAACAGGATGCCTACCGAGTACCGACGACACTGCAATACCGTGCCCTCTGCCAGTGCCGGCTGGTCCGTCCGGTCCGTCCGACCGATCGGCTCTGTACTCACTCTGGCGCGCTGAAGGTGGCGTAGAGGACCTCGTGCCGGTCCAGGTAGTGGATGCTCTGCACCTCGTCCAGGTAGAACGGGTACTCGCCGGCCACCGAGCAGTTGAGGCGCGCCTTCAGAAACGTGGTCCACACGCCGCGCCGGTCGCCCGAGTCGTTCTTGCAGATCCGCCCGATTCGGGAGACCACACGCTGCCGGGTGAAATACGAGGTCAAAGGAGGGCTACAGTTTGAGGATAGACTGCAGATGATGGGAGATAGAGAGAGAGAGAGAGAGAGAGAGAGAGAGAGAGAGAGGGGGGGGGGGGGAGAGAGAGAGAGAGAGAGAGAGAGAGAGAGAGAGAAGAAATAGAAGAGTAGAGTGCAGGAGAGAGGGGACGGAGAGTGAGAGAGAAGTGAAATGCAGAGGGAGGGAGCGGAGCAGACGAGGGTACAGTGTAAACGGATGTAGCGCTGGAGCACTGATGGCGAGACAGCACGTGTGCATTAACAAGAAATACCTGATTCGGCCATCGGCCATCCCGCTGCAAACAGGATACCCGTTTCGGGATTTCCGGATTACACGCCAGAATGTGGTGTACTTATGATAATTTTGTTGATTCGGCATTCCAAGAGGGCTCGCCAAATAGCATATATATATATATATATATATATATATATATATATATATATATATATATATATATATATATATATATATATATATATATATATATATATATATATATATATATATATATATATATATATATATATATATATATATATATATATATATATATATATATATATATATCGATATATATATATATATATATATATATATATATATATATATATATATATATATATATATATATATATATATATATATATATATATATATATATATATCGATATTCAGAGGTGCAAAAACCTGCCAACTCGCCAACCAGAGTATGTGCCAGAGATAGCACTTTTAGCCCATGAAACGTGACAGATTGCGGTCAAGTAGCCACCAATTAGAGTGTGAGGCTCTATATTCCATATAAACTGCGAATAGTAAGATAGGTAGCTACTACGGGGCTCCACTTTTATTCATTTGTCATTTTGCAGTAACTTTACTTTTTGCAGTAAATTAGCTGTGGATTATAATCGTAACAGCTGCGCCATAACTGTGCGCATTTACGGGGGGCTGCAAAAAGCCGCGTATATTCGGATGCAGTATGAGTAGAGCATGGGTCCCGAAAAATTCTTCAGAAACTAGAGAAATTCTCGCGGCCACCGGCATTTAGGCGATCTGTTCGTGCTTTTGTCACTGGAGCGCTTCTTTCACGGAGATTGCGCCGGCCGCCTGCAACGGACGAAAAATACACGGCTTTGCAATCCGGCTGATCGTGGGAAAATACAGCCGGAGGTCTCGGCTCTATGCAGGTATACCACCGGGAGAGATGTATTTATTAAGTATAGTATATACCACTGGCTCGATGTATAGCCTGCAAGTTGGCTTTGGTGCAAACATGTCAAACAGGGTATAGGGCGGATCGATGTAAGCAAATCAGACGTTCAATTGACAATTTCCGATTCTTATTCGATAATTACGACCAATTATATTTTATTTTGGGAAGTGTTATTGGGACCGGAGCAATAAAATCTCATTTTCCCCTGTCTCCTTACCTACCTCCCAAACCCCTTGCTCACGATCATCTTTCCTCTCTTTAGGTATCAGTCTCCTTCCCGTCCTCCCCGAGTCTCTGACAAGTAATATCCATGTCTCTAAGTCTTTTCCTTCATCTGATCCTCCTTTCTCTCACCACCCTTCTCTCTCTCTCTCTCTCTCTCTCTCTCTCTCTCTCTCTCTCTCTCTCTCTCTCTCTCTCTCTCTCTCTCTCTCTCTCTCACCACCCTTCTCTCTCTCTCTCACCACCCTTCTCTCTCTCTCTCTCTCTCTCTCTCTCTCTCTCTCTCTCTCTCTCTCTCTCTCTCTCTCTCTCTCTCTCTCTCTCTCTCTCTCTCTCTCTCTCTCTCTCTCTCTCTCTCTCTCTCTCTCTCTCTCTCTCTCTCTCTCTCTCTCTCTCTCGTCCGTCTGTCCATCTCTTTGTCCGTCTCTCCGTCCGTTCGCCCGCCCTTCCGTCTCTCAGTCCGTCCGTCTGTCCGTCCGCCCTTCCGTCTCTCAGTCCGTCCATCCGTCCATCCGTTTCTCCATCCGTCCGTCCATCAGTCACTCTCTCCGTCCGTCCGTCATCAGTCTCTTCGTCCGTCCATCCGTCTCTCCGTCCTTCCGTCCGTCTCTCCGGAGGTGCAACTTTTCCCAAATAGTTCTTGGAACGTCACACATGGTATATCGAACCCACATATTACATAGAGGTGCAACTTTTTCAGGTCCCACGTTCACCACGTCCAACGTTCTAACAGGTCCCAATTTTCCTGCCTTTTGGGTCATTGACCTGACCTGGAAGGTCAACCGATGACCTAGGACCTTAAAATTGGGTATCATCGGCTTCCTCTCGTCACGGGCAACACGCTGGTTTTTTCCGCGAAGCTCTAGCTTGATCAGGAGCGAAACGGCAAGGGGTTATACCTTATACGTTCGCGGCTGGAAAAAAAAAACACCTATACGGACGAGGGTCAAGTTGAAAGTATTAATTTGGTTCAAAACGATGATGTAGATAAGTTAGTTATTTAAATCTAAATATCCTATGACGAGAGCGATGGACATTTTTGGTATGCAGTGTTATCCATTGAAAACAGGTCAAAGCTATTGAGTTTTTAATTTAGTGGTCGCCGCTTACTAATCATGCGGCATACACGCCGCACATAACCGCCAATGCCGCAACGCAGCTTAAATTTCGAAGTAAGCATTTAGTCTCACCCGCATTCATATGGTACCCGTCGTGTGTGTCCGAGAATTTCTCTAGTTTCTGAGGAATTTTTCGGGACCCATGCTCTGCTCATACTGCATCCGAATATACGCCAAAAAGCCGGCGGATTCTGTCACGCGGCGGCTGTCTCCATTGTAAATCCCCATTGCCTGGCCGTGGAGTTGGCGAGGGGCTGGCGGATTGTCACGCCGGCTGTGACAGTTTGTGACAGTGTGTTTTGAGTGTGTTAGCCGGGCTGGGGAGGTGAGGTGAGGCAGTTTGGGATCCAACAGCATTACTATGGCTGCGCGGGCAAGATGTGCGGGCTGTTTGTATGCCCCCAGCACAAGATGTATGCTGTGGATAGTAATATTTATCAAGGCCCTATATACCAGGTAGGGTCGTCCGGCGATTCTACCTTTTCGTGACGTCAGCTCGTGACGTCATTTGGAGTCAAGTCTCGAAGCCCCGTTCAATCCCCATGTAAATGAGCGATTTTCGAACCACTGTAGAATGAAGTCTGCACAAGATATATCAAACCTAAGTATCTTATCTGAAAGAGCAGACAATTTTCTGCAAGTTATCTATTCCGTGTTTTTCGCTAAATCTTTTGCTTTTTTCACAAAAGCGTAAAATGCCCCCCCATGTCTCCGCAGCCTCCCTGCCTCCGGCCGCCGTGCGGTCGCGGTAGTGTAGTGGTTAGCGTGCCCGCGCAGTATTCCAAAGGTCCCGAGTTCGAATCTATGCGGTGCGGAACTTTAATTGCAATTCCAAGCTGAATATACGCACATCCATAATAAATTATTATTCGTATAGCTAAACTGTCACCAAGCTATCCATATAAATTGACTTCACCCAAAATATCGGCAATATTCTATTAAAATATAAATTTAAATATGGCGGCTTGGACTGCCGCGTGCGTTAGGCTCCGCCCATAGCTCCGCCCACATGCGTGACGTCATTCGTGTTAGTGGACACACGCGGAGATAGGGGACGACATGGGCCTGATATTTATAGTTCAATCAGTCTTGAAGCATGTGGACCAGGATGGCATGATGTAAGACGAGCAATAGCCAATAACAGAGCCTTGAGGTGAGATTCAGCTAAAACTGTCAGCATACAAAAACTCAGTCAGAAAATTTGGCATAAGTGTAAATGGAAATTGGAAATCCAATTTTAGCTGTGTACCCTGATGTCAAAATTGAAGTAGATGATTTTTTTATGCATTCACATTTTTATTTGAATCATATCAATGAAATATTTTAGATTAAGGCTGGCATAACCATTTTTGTGTGCAAAACCTTAGGAGGAAAATTAATAAAATGTTGGGCAGCCCAAATGCTACCCCTCCATCGACCTTCAGGTTATGTTTGCAAAATAACCTGCTTTTGTTTGTGCCGGAGCCTACATGTTTTACATAATCCAAGTTTTACTAATAATTTTCAGTACCTATCCAAAATGTAGTTACCTTCTTTAAACTAGGCCCAAGCTTTGACCATACCTGGCATCTAGTTAGAAACTTGACAATGTTTTTGGTTTGCGGCATATAGGCACTTACCTAGGTACCCATTTTAGGTACCCAGGTGTTTTAAGGGTTTCAATGTTTGAATATTGTTGAGAAAAGAACAGTAGGTACAAATTGAAATAAGTGTCAGGTCTCAAGGTGCTCAATAAGAGTGCCTAACATCATTGGAACCTGTCCTAAAATATGTTAAAATTCAAGAAATGATCAAAATTTCAGAGATCAGGGAAAAGTAGCATCCAGTCATCTCAATGTAAACTCCGTCAGGTCAGCTGACATCACCTGGTTGATGGAGGCTGCGTGACAGATTCCGTGTGCCACTGGCAAAGTATGTGACAGCTGAAGAGGTTTTTGCACCTCTGTCGATATTGACTCAATACTGAGACAACCGTTCATTTTTATAACCTCATCAAATGTTACGTAATGATGAAAATCAAATTAGTCGAAATAACTTTATTTACTCAAACTTATTTATTCCAATCCTGTCACAACAGCTAAAAAGATCCCGTACCTGTAGCTTATAACAAGAAAGGACTATTGGGATTCCACAAGATAAGCATTCGGGAGTGTATGGCCTTACATGTGGTGTATGCGTAGTACGCATGTATGCGTTTCGGGATTCGGGGGAGGATTTAAAACATTTGATGACATGGTAAATGTCCAAAATTATAAATGCATGCTCCTCTTTTTATAAAGCATCCCTATCTTCCTGGTCTGACCCCAAGTGGCGTGTAGCGTTCATCAATGTGTCTGACCCGTTTTAAGTCCATTTGCAGAAGGCCATCACCGGACACACTGCGCAAAAGAAGCCAGGCGAGACATTTCAAAAGGACATGATCCAATAGTCGCATTAAGATGTAAGTACCGGCGATGACACGCACACGGATTGAAACAGTCGTGCGCCATTTAACGTGCGTGTAAATGCTAATGATACAAGGGTTCTGGGTAACCGTCTCTTTCCCTGCAATGTTCTTGCGATGTAGCTCCGCCTTAACGTCAATTTTAACGGTTCTGACTTAAATCAAGTTGGAATTAGCGTTAATGACAGGTCTAACCCGAGGACAATATAGACCGGAGTGACATTGCTGATTGATGATGGAAAACATACAAAGAAAGGTGTGGCATCATTGTGTTAACGCGATCGACAAGTCCAATGTCCATAGACAACAGCCGCCGGGCGCTGAACATCTCGATGACCAGGATTACTGTAAGGCGACTAGTGGCATCACTGCAGCTTTTATCAAGTTATCTGTGACAGGACGAGTGTCGCGTCTCGTCTGCTGAAAATGGGCGACACGGCCTCCTAATTTGGCCGGCCCGTATAACGGAGGGCCTCTCTGGTTGAACAGGTGTTACAGAAGAGAGCCGCTACTTAGCGAGAGATAAGAGACCGGTGCATCCAGGATTTGAAAACAGTGTAACATCCCGACACCCGGGCGACAATTCAGAGATGTAATGCGATTAGAGTAGACGTTGAAATATGAGAGCATGGACTTGTCATTTACTGTAAATGGGCACTGACGCCATGCTCATAAAAAGTGAATACATTACAGTTCATAACATTCTGCCTGCTGCTATCACCGGTTCACAGGGAGGGCAGATAAGTTACAGCCCCGGCGGAGAACAGGAGTCCCATTCCGCAGCTCACCTTTCCACAGTTGAGCAGCTCGAACGCCTCCTCCCTGAAGACGAAGTAGACGAAGTCGGCCGTCTCGAAGGAGCCGACGAACTGGGGCTCCCGCAGCAGGCGGGTGTCGTACTTGCTGGTACGCAGGGCGGCGCGGCCGCTGACGCCGGCGCCCCGGTACACGGCCGGGTCCAGGCCAGAGAAGTCGGTCGGCGTGGCGGCCACGATGTCGCCGTCGGCCGTCAGCACGGAGGTGACGTTGAAGCGCGGAGAGTAGGGCGCCACGGCCACGCCCGACTCGGAGGCCAGCACGGTGCGCAGCGACTCCAGCACGCGCCACGTGCACTGCGGCTGGAAGGCGTTGGTGCCGCAGGCCAGCAGCCGGTCGCCGCGGCTGTGCAGCGCGCGGATGTAGTTTCGGCAGTCGCCGGCCGCCTGGCCCTTGATCTCGCAGAGTGTGGCGTCGCGCGGCGTCGGCGGCCAGTGGACCGACTCCAGCTCCTGCAGACCACGCACACTGAGACGGTACAGCTGGTCCCTGGGGAGAGAGACACGCGGCGCCCACTCAGACTCCGGGTCACGGAGAGGCGCGGCGCCCACTCAGACACCTAGCTGAGCATCCTGGAGCGGCCAGACACCTGACTCAGACACCTAACAGAAGTGGGCTAAACCAACATCGAAGCCGCCGCGCTGGAAGTACTTGGAAAGCCGCCGCCTACATCAGCCCTGCCCCGGACTCGAGTGACGTTATCCACCTGTTATCCAGTGTGGTGGCTAGCTGCACATAGTAAAATGGTGTAAATAAATTACCAGCATTATCACGAAAATGCAAAAAATGGCATCGTTAGCATTCCAACAAATAAATATAAAACGACTCAAACATAACTGATATCTATGCCTCAAATCAAACTTTTAAGACGTTTGAACTTACAACCTTAAGATAAGTCTAAGTCTAATCAAAACAAGGACTGCTTTGACGTAGCTAACGGCAATCCTGGCATCATTTGTGGTATTTGAATTTTTAAACAAACTACCTATACTTCCAATTAACTATCGACAGGTATTCGCTTCTTTTTGGATTCAACTTCCCATGATGATAACATTTTTCGCATTTTCCTCTGTTGCGATCTCGATCAGGATTAGCTGTGACAGCCAGCAATTAGGCCCGACAAGTCACTGCAAACTCTTACCTGGCTCCCACGATCATCTGGTACTTCTGAATGTCGAACAAGATCTCGGAGAAGGCCGTGACTCCGGGCGGCGCGAACCTGTCCAGCGACTCCCTCAGCTCTGGAACGGAGCGGCGCAGGTCAGCAAGGCCGAGCTCCCCCGAGAGTTACAGCGACACCCACACACACCGCCCCAGGTCTGTCAACACTCTGGGCTCCAACTCCGCTCCGCCAGTGGAGGAGGACATCCCTAACAGCGCCGCCCTGGACCCCGGCGGTGGGGTAAAAAATTAATTATTGGTGCTAAAAGGGATAAATCATACAAATGTTTCATCATAGACCTCTGTATACCGCGGTATACAGAGATATATGGTTTCATTGATAGTGCATAATTAAGTTTAAACGGTCACTTTTATCTTAATTTTGCATGTTTTGTATGCCTATACATGCATTTAGATTTGTGAAACCGGAGCCGGCAACCAATTTTTCGTTAAAGAACGAGCTGCTCAACCATCGTTATAATTAAATTCACATCATACGTGTAAGTTGTAACCGCGGCCAATCTGATTTTAAACTGCATTCCAAGAACATCGGGTTTGCACGTTTGACACGAAAATATGTGCTCTACGCAATGCATATTAAGATCAGTTCCAATTAAACCATTGGGTAACATCGGCTGGTCGATCTTGAATTAACGACTCAGTAGAACGTGGATGGTGACACACCTATCAATGCACGCAGCTTTGTTGAATTATGCGCATATAAACCGACCAATAGTCTTGTTTGAGCGAGAGCATGGTCATGCATAGGTACATGCATCGGACACATATTTGGCTTTTGGGTCTGGTTGGGTATATCACGGGCGTAGGAACGTCATGAAAAGTGAGTGGGCCACCCTGTCAAGGGGCCTCCTTTTCCAGGGGGCCTCCTATTTTCAGGGGCCTCCAACTTTTGCCTCGTCCTGCTGGCTGCTTTCAAGTATGACCTCCAAATCTAGCTTCTGAGCTCGGGCAGATGTACCCAGGGGCGTAACCGCTTAAGCGAACAGTGCGGAAAGTCCGCGCACCATTTTTAAAACTTATTCCCCCTCCGATTTTTTTTAAGAATCTATTTGCCGCAAACGGCGCATGAGCCCTGAAAACCCTTACACAAATGTCTTCCTCGTTTCCCAGGTGCCCCCATTAGCTTCATAGGCGCCCTCTTTGGCATATAAGCGCCCTATGTATAGTCATCAGAGACATCCCTATATGTCCCACAGTCGCCCCGTTGTCGCATACAATGTGCGCTTATCATAGACGTCTCTCTTTTATGGACACTTGAAGGCGCCTCTCTTTGCCATGTCGGCGCTCCTGTTTCTTATGAATGCACCCCCAGGCCCCATGGCATTGATCAATTGCAGTCTGCAGATCTCTATTGCATGTGGACGCCCATATATGTACCTAGGCTTCAGAGGCGCCCCTCTTTCGCATTGAGGCGCCCCTATGGGCTTCATAGGCGCCCCTCTATTGCACGTAGGTGCCCTACTATCTCAGAACCGCTCCCCTTTGGCATGCAGACGCCCATCTTTCGTACGGAGGAGCCGCTGTGGTTCTTAGAGATTAGACTTAGAGGTGCTCCCAGACGCAGATGGGGCTCTCGGAGTCGACAGTGTGGGACCTTCAGTCGCTGATGGGTGCCCGCCAGATGTGGACCCTCGGAGACGCCGGTGTGGGGCCAGGGGCGGCGCCACGGGTTTTCGATAGGGGGGGACGGGGACCGAAAATCGAAAATCCCAAAAGTAGATACTGATCGTGTATGCAAAAAAAAAAAAACGAGGCACGTAACGCCGCGAAACTTGGCAAGGCCCAAAACACATCGAATGGTGCATCCCGTTTCCAAACTTATCCTAGGACACCTAAGATCGATCACCTTTTCAAGCATCCTTGCCTCTAAATCAAAATTTGCAGTCTTGCCAACTCAAAGCTGGTTTCCTACAAGCTGCGAATTGCTTAGGCATAAGTAGCAGTGCCAGCTATTCTTACATTTCGTACTTTCAAATTTTCGATCTTACGTCTGGTCAGCTTCAGGGCTTCACCATCATATACATAGTCATGGAGGAAAAGTGGGAATGTCTTCTGCTCTGACAAGTGCGCCAAAACTGCAATATAATTTCAGAATCATGACATCACCACCTGATCCATATGCAACGGGCAGGGTGCAGCTAATGGCTAGCCGTCAGTGGTCATGTCATCGGTGGTCACTCAAAAGGCCATGCTAGGTCATGGAAGGTCACCAACCGTTATTAGATCACACTTTCTGATGGATTTTACTTGCCAAGAGCTTCGCGGGAAAAACGAGCGCATGCACCGTTGAAAAAATTGAGTGAAAGGGTCTCAGGTCCGGCGACCTCTGCAGGTGAAATGCCCCAGGGTAGGATTCCGGTCCTTGTTGATTAACTTCGTCAAAAATGGCAGTAGAGCTGTGATGTCGGCACCATTGTGTTCGTCATGATCGAGCTGGCACGACCTACATCGTTCTCATATTCACCCTCCAATCGTAACAACTACAGCAGGGATTGGCAAATGGCGGGGCACCCCCTTTGGGAGGTAATGAAGGTCTCTGGAAACCTCATCCCACATCTCTTAAGCATTAGTGGCTCTCCTTATGGAACAGGTTTCTTGACTGGTCTGTTTCACCCCAGAATTCAAAGACTAGTCAAGGTAAAACCGAGCGCACCACAGTGAGCACAATTTGATAAGCTGGTGTATCTCAATTTTCATGTAGAACCTTTCACGTACCACGGACCTAAAACCCTTTCGTGCACTCATGCAAAAGCAACTGCCATGTTTCAACAGCTGGTAATGGCATTTTCACAGCCGCTGACGTAAGAAGGGGAGGGATGGGGGGCTCGATTAGACCCCCAGCCGTTCGGCCGCCGACCGAACTTAGTTTTGCAGAAAAAAAAACGAGTGCTATCGAACCCCTTGACGAGAGGGAGCCGATGCTATATCCAATTATAAGGTCTTGGGCTACTGCGTGCTTTTTTGGTCCTGCCTGTGATCTATCCGAACACTTCTCCCCACAAGTGCTGGGGTTAAATGGCATAGATTTCAAATGGTTCCTGTGGTAGAACTGCCATGCTTGAATTTGACTCATTAGGAATGGAAAATTTTTCATATAGTAACGGAAATCAATGGAATTTCAGCTTGGTTTTATCGGCAATGGGGTCTGGCAGTGGGGTGGGGAGGTAATAAGTAATAACCCTGCCTGGCGCCCCAAAAAGGGGGCACGATCCCCGAGGCCCTGCCGATCACCTTATAACTACAGACATCACAGCTCCACACCTTTTGCAGATGGCCAGGACCCCTGCGATGCATCCCAACAGCAATCTTTATTCAGAACCTGCCTTGATTAACCAACGATGCATTAAATGCCACGGATAGCTCTATAATGCATTATTATCAACTATTGAACGGGCCTCGCCGATAGGGGGGTACTGTACCCCCCTAACTTTCGATAGCGGGGGACCTGTCCCCCCCGTCCCCCCCGGTGGCGCCGCCCATGTGTGGGGCCCTCAGAGATGCCGGTATGTGGCCCTTAGAGACACCGGTGTGGAACCCTCAGATACTTCAGTGTGAAGCTCTTACAATTGCTGGTGTGGAGCTATGAATGCGCTGGCTTAAATCGCTCAGAGGCCGGTACATGGACATTAGAGCTCAGTGAGAGCTTGTGTGGTGCCTTCAGTGGCCTTGTGGAGCCGTTAGACATCAACATGGTGCTCTCAGGAGCCGGTGAGTCCTCGGAGTCACTGGGGGCCTTCAGAGCTCCGAGATACTGGTGTGGGGCCCTCAGAGGTGTCGGTGTGGGTCCTTCAAATGTACCTATAGAGCCTTGAGATGCACAGGTGTGGTGGCCCACAGAGGCGCCGGTGTGGGGCCCCCAGAGCCACCGATATAGGGC